ATCGTTCCCATGATGAGCATCCTTCCTAGGGGAGTGTACCCGAGACGACACCCTCCCTATGGTTGCCCTATGGTTGCGGTTACGAGTATGCGTGTCATTGCTAGGGGATGGCGGCCTTCAGAGTCAACCCCGCCGACCAGAAGCTCGGCCCGGTCCGACGCGTCCTCGCGTGGGCGGCTCTTCGTAGATCTCCCAATATCTCCCCAGATCTCCCCAGATCTCCCCAGATCTCCCCAGATCTCCCCAGATCTCCCCAGATCTCCCCATCTCTCGGTCCGGCGCGTGCTCGCGTGGGCGGCTCTTCGTAGATCTCCCAATATCTCCCCAGATCTCCCCATCTCTCCCCAGACCTCCCCATCTCTCCCCATCTCTCCCCACCTCTCCCCATCTCTCCCCACCTCTCCCCATCTCTCGGTCCGGCGCGTGCTCGCGTGGGCGGCTCGTTGTCGGGCGGGCGCAGCTCGCGGCCGAATGAGATATGGGGAGATATGGGGAGATATGGGGAGATATGGCGCAGCTCGCGGCCGAATGAGATATGGGGAGATATGGGGAGATATGGGGAGATATGGGGAGATATGGCGCAGCTCGCGGCCGAATGAGATATGGGGAGATATGGGGAGATATGGGGAGATATGGGGAGATATGGCGCAGCTCGCGGCCGAATGAGCTCCGAGTGAGCTCCATGCTCATCGCTGAGTAGGCGGGCTTGCTCGGCTTGGAGCAGCTCGCGGCGCTGCTGCTGCGCGCCTGCCGTGCGATGAGGTGTGAACAGCGTCTCTTCACACCCACTGCTGTGAATAGGCGCTGCTGCTGCGCACCTTCTTCCCGCGCTGGCCGGCGGCGGTAGATGCGGGGGTAGCAGCAGCAGTAGCAGCGGTAGCAGCAGCAGCAGCAGCAGTAGCAGCGGTAGCCGCAGCAGCAGCAGCAGCAGCAGCAGCAGCAGCAGCAGCAGCAGCAGCGGCGGCGGCGGCGGCGGCGGCGGCGGCGGCGGCAGCCGCAGCAGCAGCAGCAGCAGCAGCAGCAGCAGCAGCAGCAGCAGCAGCAGCAGCGGCAGCAGCAGCGGCAGCGGCAGCAGCAGCGGCAGCCGCAGCCGCAGCCGCAGCCGCAGCCGCAGCAGCAGCAGCAGTAGGCTTTCCTTCCAAGATCGCGGACCCCTCCTCCTCCTCTCGCCCAAGCGATTTGGCGAGCTCACCTTCCTTACCCACCTCCCCTCCCCGCGCCGTAGGCTGGCAGCCCTCGCCGAGTGGCTCGGCCAGGCCCCCGATCGATTGATGAGTTAATGACTAGCCGATCAATTCATTACTGACTCGCCGCGTGGCTCGGCTAGGACCCCGACTGATTAATTAATGAATGACGAGCCGATTAATTCATTACTAACTCGCCGCGTGGCTCGGCCAGGACCCCGACTGGGGCGAGGTCTCGCAGTGGTACTGCGGCTGGAAGGCGCTGCTCCTCCGGCCGGCGCCCGCCTCCCCCTCGACGGCGGGCGGGCCTAATGAGCCAGCAATTCGGGGTGACTCCGGAGCCGACCATTCAATCAGGCGCCCGGCCTCATCGACGATGTCGCCGTGCGGGCGCGCTTCGACGCGGCGCTGCACCGCATCAACGCGGCCTTGGACGCGGAGCAGGCGCTACCACACCACCCACGGGACCGAACCCACACTGGATTCGATACTTTGGAGGTATGGGACGTAGGCGCCGGACGCCGCCGCGGCGTGCGAGGGCGGCGCGGACGGCACGCCGCCGCCGCCGCCGCCCCGATGGGAGGGGGAGGAGGAGGAGGAGGAGGAGGAGGCCGCGGCGGCGGCGAGCGGAGGAGGCGAGGGCGCGCGGAGGCCGGCGGAGGAGGAGGCGGCGCGGCGCGGCGCCGACGGCGAGCCGACGCTGCGCGAGATGCTGGAGCGGCTCGCGTCGCTGCACGGCGCCGTCTTAGTAGTAGTAGTAGTAGTAGTAGTAGTGGTAGCAGTAGTAGTAGTAGTAGTAGTAGTAGTAGCAGTAGTAGTAGTAGTAGTAGTAGTAGTAGTGGTAGTGGTAGTAGTGGTAGCCTGACTGCGAGCTGTGTGCGCAGGCGCCGTCTTCATGCCGCTCGGGGTGCGCAGCGAGGGGCGCGCCGTCTTCTCGTTTGGCGGCGTGCAGGTGGTGCTCCACATATCTCCCCAGATCTCCCCAGATCTCCCCATATCTCGTTTGGCGGGTTTGCAGGTGGTGCTCGACAGCGACAAGAAGCTGGTGTACGCGCGCCAGCTGGGCGGGGGAGGGGGAGGGGGAGGGGGCGGGGGAGGGTTCCGCCCTATCAGCCTCAAGGAGCTCGTCGCGCTTGCCGGTGGGTCTGCGGGAGAGGGCGCGTGAGCGCGGGGCCCCGTGCTCGGCGCGGTGGCCGGTGCGCCCCGCCTCCGAGCTCCGTGCACCGCGTCCTAGAGCTGACAGTGTGCGCCCCCGACTTCTTTATAACGACCCGTTAATACGACCCGCGTCCCTCACACCAAGATGCAGCCCCCCAAAGGGTACAGTCACACGTGACTAAAGTACCAACGGCAAACCTCGGACATTTTACGAACTCCTTGGCGACGTGCGCGTCGCGTCGCCAAGGCTCGGCGACCTCGGTCGTACGTACACTCGGCTGGCTGCGTCCTGCGCGGGTTTTCAGCCAGGTTCCCGCGCACCGGCCACGACGGACCAACCAGACCAAAAATCGCGACGCTCGCGCGCAAAGATCAGTACGACATCAACGCTCGCAGACGCTCTCGAGGATCTCGAGGATTGATGGTGAGGGGTGAGGGTGAGGTGATGCCCTCCCCCCTCCCCCCCCGCCCGGCCTCGAACCCGCAGCCAACCGGCCCGTCTGCGAACGCTCTGACCGCTAAGCCACCAATGCACAAACCTCGACGCCACAAAATTCTGAACCTAATACACCCATGCACTCAGCTCACAAATCGGCACCCTGTAGTATGAGCCCCGCGCGTCTCGAGCCCCAACTGACAACTCACCATTGTCCCTCGGACACCACTCTCCAGCCGCGCTACCTCCGCCCACCTACCGCTCTCGCATGACATCTCGACAATCCTCATCTCCGGGCCCAAGACTCCTAACCACTTCCCCTGCTCGCCCAGGACCACGAAGCGCCGCCCGCGCGCCCATTGACCCCCCAATCTACCCACCTGCTATCCCTCAATTGCCACCCGCCAGATGTAGCTACTGCCCTCGCCCACCCAATACTCTCACCCTCCTGACCCGGACAGTCCAGGTACAGGAAAAGCGGGGAGCGGGGCCCGATCCAAGGAGCACCCCGTCGGCCCGGGAGGGCTGTGAATTTCGGCGCGGGCGGAAGGCTGCCTGCAGACGCTCAGCCCCCGGCTGAGCTGCCGAATCCTCCCGGCTAATCCCCTGACCTGCCGCCTGAAACGGGACAACATTACACCACCTCACACACACTCCCCCTCTGGGCTAAGCAGTGCGCAAGTCCACCCGAACTCTAGGCGAGGCATCGACCGCTCCTTTGGAATAGTGCCGTCAGTGGCTGCACTAGACGCCCATTAGATGGCGCGCGGCGCGGGCGGATGACTGGACCTACCCAAACCTACCCGGACCTACCCAGACCTACCCAGACGTATTCACCCCGTACCCAGACCTACCCGGACCTACCCAGACGTATTCACCCCGTACCCAGACCTACCCGGACCTACCTATTCACACTCCGTACCCGGACCTACCCAGACCTACCCAGACGTATTCACACCCCGTGGGGATGCAGAGCGTGCAAAGCGGCTAGGGATGAGGTCGCAAAAGAGGCGCGCGAGGCAAGGAGGAGACGCGGGGAACTGAAAGACTGGGACGACTGGAAACAAGAAGACAATGAGCCACCACAGGCGTCGTTGGCGCACATACTGAGCGGCAGCTGCGCTGGAAATAAGGAAGAGGCGCGTCACTTCATGCGGAAGCTCGACAAACACACAGCGAGGGCGACAGCAAGAGTTGAACGGGAGGCGCCGGACTCAAAAGACACCGCCACATTCCTGAGACGAGCGAGGGCAGCCTCCTTAAAGGCGAAAGGGTCTAGATTTGGGGCGCTCGCCGAAGAGGAGTACGACAAAATAGCACCCGTGATTGCCTGCACGCTACCCGCACTCACGGACTCCATACCCGAAAGAAAGAGAAGGGAGCTCGCGGGAGAGGTGACGAGTGAACTTCAGGTAGTGGGGAAGGCAGCCTCGATTGCCATACAGACATGGGTGCGAAACAACGACAAGACCAAGGCAAGGGCAGAGGAACGAGAGAAGAATATAGGGTGGATAAAGCGCCTGTTCACGGCATGGAGGGTGAGCCACACCGAACGTACCGAGCGAAGGGCCGAGCGGAAGGAGGACGGGGAAGATGACTCGGGGGAGGACGAACCAGTGGAAATTCAGTTGTCAGATGTCACGATGCACCCGAAGGGGACCCCAGCGCCGGCATCATCCGTAGAGGCACGAGTGTTCGAAGAGAGAGTGGACCTGAGCAACAACATGACGTGTAGGCAAATGATCGGAGTGGGAGTCAGAAATGTGGTCCTTGCGCGAGGGGAGCTTGATAGACTCGAGGGGCCAGGATACGCCGCGAGGAAGGGGGTCCATTAACACCAGACAGCGAGAGGGGCATGGAGGAAAGGGGGAGAGAGGAAGCCAACGCGACGTGCGCAGAGGATGAGGATATAAACTGGGACGACGCAGCGGAGGGGATAGGCGAGGGAATCGAGGGACCGGAGGGCTTTCGCGACAGCGACGATGACGACGAAGAAAGGGGAGGGGACGGAGGGGCGACACGCAGGAGGGGCGAAATCGCTAACGGCCCGAGCAGAGAGGGCGACGGCGGGGCACGAGGGAACAACGGAGACGCTACCGATGACGCGAACCGAGGCACGGACGCCGGCGGGGACGGGGAGGGCGACAGCGACGTCGAGGTTGACGCAACCGTATCGAGAGCGCCACCCAAAGGGGGGCAGACAGCCATGGAGGTCACCGAATGGAGGGCGAACGGCACGATACGAAAAGGCAGGGCGAGGCGGATGGAGAAAGAAGTGCCGAGAAGGCCATGGTGGAGGGGAGGGACGGGAGGACGAAAGAAGGGCGAGGAAGACGAGCGGCCCGCACAGACCGCGAGCAGACAGCGCCTGCTGGCCATTTCGAGACATTCGCCAAGAACGCTAGCTACATGGGAGGGCTTCGTGAAGGATGGATTGAAAAACATTCGAACAAAGAAGAGGCGACGGGAGGAACCGGCGGAGGATGCAGTGACGTGACACACACACACACACACACACACACACACACACACACACACACACACACACACACACACACACACACACACACACACACACACACACACACACACACACACACACACACACACACACACACACACACACACACACACACCGCTCACCCACGCGCACTGGGCCTTGCACTTTGAATGCCGTGGGGCTCCTGTCGTCAGACGTGGAGACGCGAGGGTTGCCCCCCCTTGCCCCACCACCTCGTGTGTGTGGAGAAGTTTACCTTACCTTACCTTACCTGTGGCAGCCCAGCTGGCTGAGTGTCTTGTGAGTTTGTGTGTCTTGTGTGTCGCTCGCGCGTGTCGTCATCTTCTGTCCCGCGTCCACCCGTTACCGCGTTGGTGTCCATATTGAGCACTGCCCGCTTGCCTTAGGACTAACTAACTACCTGAGATACGTACATTCAAACCTCGATAACATGCACCGCGAACATGTAACACCATGCATCACGAGGGCTGAGCTTTCGGCATGCACTTAGCTACACGCACCAGCAGAAAGGCCGAGCACCACAACGCTAGGCAAATGACATTGACGATGAATAGTTCGGAATTTGCTCCAGACTTGGGGTGGCGTTGGCAATGATCACCGCTGCACACGGCTGTAGTAAGAAACGGGAGTATCGTGCAGGCAAGTATGAAGCCAGGCAACATGATTCGTATGCCGATGAGGTCCTGGATGTCATGATTGCGCCTGCCGGTGATCTCCTCACAAACCCCTAGAACCATGGCGCCCGCAGAGCCAACACGTGCAGGGACGGAGAAAGCCCGACTTAAAGTGCGCAAACGGCGATGACCCGCGCGCTGTCGCTTGATTGCCAATCCTGGCGCTTGCTGGAAGCTCGCTCCTTCTTGAGCCTGCCCGGCACGCCTTGCCGATTTGCATTTTCGTTCCCTCTTTGCCGAGATGCCTTGCCGACGCCCAGCAACGACGGCGATGAGGAAGGAGAGCGCCTGGAAGGTTATGCACACAATAAAGAAGTACTGGAGCCAGGTAGGTTTTGTCGACACAGAGGCCTCTGTCATGAGGACGGTGCTGGCAAGCACCGTGGTGATTGCGAGACCCGCACGGTCCGTGTTGCCGTCTCGGGGGATCCAATACTGCGCCGAGCAGAGGATCACGAGAAGCCAGCCCATCATTACATGCATGGTGGTAACGAAGGATGGCTCCCGCTCGATCGATACCGTGACTTTGATTGCAGACTGATTCTTTCTGACGGGCGATCGCCAGGGGGGGATGGAACTCTGCGTTGACCCCATCAGCTTCGTCGTGTAGCCCTCTGGCCCTGTTAAATTGCTTTGGAGATCCGAGCGAAATTGCTCTCCGGGTAAGGGGTCGGGATGGAGTACCAGCTGCTCAATGGGCACGTCCGAGGTGATGTTCAGGTGGCACTCGATGCGTGCGCTCCTCAGTCTCCATCACAGAAGAGAGAAGTAGAGTCCAACGATTTTTCTTTTTGGTGGAGCACTTGGAGGGTACAAAATCTTTTTTTGAGAGCGCCTTCGTTGTTAATAATCCAAACCCAATGGTCCCTTTCGAGCGGTCCCTTGTCGCAGTCGCACACACGCACTCGAAATCGACTTGGTCTGGGCACAGCTGAGCCCTGCGCTGAGGTTTGCCTCCATTCTGAAAGTGTACGTAGAAGGGAAGGCAGCATGCCAGGTTTGCGAACTCCCGCTGTGCGCCGAAAAGCGGTATGGCGCCGAGGAGAAGCCATTTTCTTATTAGAAAAGGCTGTCGACATCCAAATTTTCCTCGTCCTGCGCGCCCAACCATGGATGGCGGGCACATCTCAGAAACACTCGTGCGGCTGCGCATTGTTTGTATTTTCTCTTCTCTACGAGCCGGCGAGTGGAAATCGCAGATATAGCTGCATCGAGATCACATATTATCGAGATCACTCGAGAGATCACTCTCGAGACACGAGAGATCACGCAAAGGTAAATCATGGTCCTCCGTCGCTCAGAGGTAGAGGTAAAGGGCCCACGGCTGCCCAGAGGTAAAGGTAAGAGGGCCGCAGGCCCTCAGACGTAGAGGTAACCTAGACCCCTCCTACCCGGCCCTCAGGGCCGAACGCACACGCCGCACCGCACCGCGCGCCCGCCCGCTGCCCCGCCCAGGCGGGAAAGACGCGCACACACACACGCACGCCGACCCCGACAGGCGGGCAGGCGCCGCGTCCCTCACAGCTCCATCTAGAGCTCCATCCTCTCGGGCGGGCAGTACTCGTGGCAGTCGTGCGCGGCGTTCTCCTGCCGCGCCGCCTCGGCGCGGTCGCCTCCGCCGCCCGCCGGCGTGAAGCGGCTGCAAGCATCGCATAGCTCGGGAGGCGGCGAGACGCTGCGCACGGGGCCGCGGGTGGCGGCGCCGTGGTAGTAGAGCGCCGCGGTTCGCGCCTCGCCCTCCTCTCCGACGTCGCACCTCCGCGCGGCGGGCAGCCTCTCTAATCAATAGCTGATCAACTCCGAATTAACTCCTAACTAACTCCGAATTCACTCCGAATGAACTCCGAATGAACTCCGAACTAACTCCGAACTAACTCCGAATGAATTCCTCTCAGCTGATCTCAGCCGATCTCGGGGGATCGCGGGGCATCTCGAGCGATCTCGGGCAATCTCGGGCAATCTCGGGGCAAGGGCATCACGCGGATCTCGGGTGATCTCCGCGCTCAACGCGGCGGGCGATCTCGGCCGATCTCCGCCGATCTCGGCCGATCTCCGCGCCTCCACGCGGCGGGCAAGCCGCCGTACGCGGAAGACATGCCAACGTCAAGCAGCGCGAGTGTGCCGCCGCAGCGCGAGGAGACCCACGGCACAATGTTGTGCCCCACCTGTGCACAGGTGCAGCTGTGAAGAGACGCTGTTCACGGCTGAGGCCTCAACGCGGTGTGCGCCCCACCGCCATCCGACGAGCACTCGGGTCGAGGGCCCCTATTTGGCTTCTTTGGGTTTGGGTACCGGGTCGGTAGGGTACTGCACCCGCTCGGCTCGAGGGCGCCCAGGGCCGCCTGCACCTCAGCACACGCGTGCTCCTCCCGCCGAAAGGCCTGGGCCGGCGCGAGGACGGGTCTGGTCAGGTGGGGGATAGGGTCGACTGAGGCTGGCTACAGGGGATAGGGTCGGGTAAGGCTGGCTACACTTCTCCGCACACACGAGGGGGTGGCGGGAAAACACCGGGCTAGCCCCTCGCGACTCGCCCTCACCTGCCGCGGCCTCGCGTAGCCTCTCCACCATAGGGGCCCCTCCCTCGGATCGAGCAAGTCGCCTGCGTGCTGGATACGCAGGCATGAGGGCGGGAGGACGGTACTGTGCAGGGACGGAGAGGCCCCTACGGTGAGTGCAGCTGAATACTGCGGAAAGACGGTCGAGCGGAGCTGAGTACGTGTCTCGAGCGCTGGTTCGAGGACAAGAACACGGACTCTATTCCGCTTCTAAGGCAAGTCGCCGTCGCCGCGCGCCGCGATCTGCGCCCGCACCGCCTCGTTCAGTCTCTCGACCGACCCGAACCGCTCCGCCACCGACAGCCGCACGCCAGCGTGCACGAACAGCGTCCGGCAGGCGCCTCCGCCGCGCACTGCTGCGGCGTCGTGCCGCAGCAGCGCGGCGCCGAGGTCGCCGACGGTGGGCTGCATGCGCCGCTTCCACGCGCCGGCGCCGCCCTCCGCCGCCAGCTCCGCCTTGTGCACGTAGTGGACCTTGCCTTGCATGTTCATCAGCTCGTGGTTGCCGAGCAGCAGCACCAGCTCGCCGCCGGCGGCCTCAGCCTCCGCCTGTAGCCGCCAGAGCGCGCGAAGCACGCCGAGGGAATTGTTTCCGCGGTCGAGCACGTCGCCCGTCTGCACCACCGTCATCGCGCCGCCCACCCAGCTCCCCGTCTCCGGGTCGACGGCGCCGCAGAGCGCGAGCGCCGCGAGAGCGTGCTGCAGGTCGCCATGCAGGTCGCCGACCGCACAGACCGAAGACGGGTGGGGGTAGGCTGGCAGGAGGGCGGAGAGAGCGAGCATGACCGCGCAGGGTTCCGGCTCCAGGGGTTCTGTCGAGTGACTCGCGCCAAAACGCTATATATATATCCCTACGGGCCGCCGCCCCGGGGGGGGGGGGGCACAGCGAAAAAGAGGATTAAACCGGGACCCTTCCCTCAGACGATGGCGAGTGCAGGATCCCTCAGCTGCACGGACGCGGCCGTGCTGGCGGCGGAGCGTGGCGAGGAGGAGGCGGTCCTGGCGTGGCTCGAGGGCGGCGGGCGGGCCGACGCGACGTACGAGAGAGACGGCGTGAGCGGCATCACGCTGCTGATGGGCGCCGCCAACCAAGGCCACGAGCGGGTGGTTGAGATGCTGCTGCGGCACGGCGCGGAGACCAACCTACAGAGCAGCGACGGCTGGACCGCGCTGATCCTCGCCGCCGACAAAAACCACGAGCGGGTGGTCGACTTGCTGATTCGGCGCGGCGCGAGGGTCAACCTGCAGGACAGCATCGGCGGCACCGCGCTGATGGCAGCCGCCAACAACGGCTGCGAGCGGGTGGTCGACTTGCTGATCCGGCGCGGCGCGAGGGTCACCCTGCAGGACAGCATCGGCGGCACCGCGCTGATGGGCGCCGCCGTCTTCAACCATCCCGCCGTCGTGCGGCGCTTGCTGCGGGCGGGCGCAGACGCGGCGGCGCGCACTGAGAACGGCAAGACGGCGCTGCAGCTGGCCAAGGAGAAGGGCCATGCCGAGTGCGTCAAGGTGTTGGCTGAGGCGGCGGCGGCTGCAGACGGCCGGGTAGGGCCGGGCGGCGCTTCCTCGGGCGCGGTAGCAGCAGCGGTGGACGCGCCGCTGCTCGGCCAGCGAGTCGTGCTCGGCGGGCTCTCTTCCCGCCCCGAGCTGAACGGGCGGCTGGGCGAGGCTCAGAGCTTCGAGGGCGGGCGGTACGCGGTGGCGCTCGAGGGCGGCGGCGAGAGCGTGCGGGTGCGGCCGGGTAATCTGTCGCCGGCTGCGGCGGCTGAGCCGAGCGGTGGCGTGGCAGCCCCCGATGCGGTCATCGCAGCGGCTCATCGAGGCGAGGAGGAGGCGGTGCTGGCGTGGCTCGACAGTGGCGGGCGGGCCGACGCGACGTACGAGAGAGGCGACGTGAGAGGCATCACGCTGCTGATGACCGCCGCCAACAACGGCCACGAGCGGTTGGTCGACTTGCTGCTGCAGCACGTCGCGGAGATCAACCTGCAGAGCAGCAACGGCCTCACCGCGCTGATGTTCGCCGCCCGCTACGGCCACGAGCGGGTGGCTGAGCTGCTGCTACGGCACGGCGCTGAGGTCAACCTGCAGAGCCGCGGCGGCGCCACCGCGCTGATGGCCGCCGCCGACAACGGCCACGAGCGGGTGGTCGAGTTGCTGATACGGCACGGCGTGGAGATCAACCTGCAGGACATCAAAGGCTTCACCACGCTGATGATCGCCGCCCTCTATAACCGCCCCGCCATCATGCGGCGCTTGCTGCGGGCGGGCGCAGATGATGCGGCGCGCAGTGCGAGCGGCAAGACGGCGCTTCAGTGGGCCAAGGAGAAGGGCCACGCCGAGTGCGTGCGTGCTCTCGAGGAGCACTCGTCGACCGCAGCAGAGGCTGAGGGGGAGACGGCGGTCGCAGAGTCAGCCGAACAGGCCGCGGCGGCCGCACGCGAGGCGGCAGCGGCATCGGAGGCGGCGGAGGCGCGCGATGCTGCCGAGGCTGCGCTGCGTGAGGCGGTTGAGGCGTGCGAGCGAGGCGACGCCGATCTCGAGGCGCTCAGGGCGGCGATCAACGCAAACACCGAGGCCGCCGACGGCTCGGAGGCGCTGCGGGCGGCGCGGCGGCTGCGCGACGAGCTGGCGGAGCGAAAGGTCCGCGAGGCCAGGGCGCTGAAGCGGCAGCGGCAGAAGGAGGAGAAGGCGGCGGCGAGGCAGGCGGAGGCGGCGGCGCGGGCGGCGGAGGAGGAGGCGCGGGCGGCGGACGAGGCGCGGGCGGCTGAGGCAGCTGCGGCGGCGCGGGCGGCGCGGGCATCGGAGGAGGCGGATGAGGCGGCGCGGGCGGCGGAGGAGGCGGAGGCGGCGTCGCGGGCAAGGGAGGAGGCGGAGGCGAGGGCAAGGGAGGAGGCAGAGGCAAGGGCGAGGGAGGAGGCGGCAAGGGAGAGGGAGGAGGCGAGGATGAGGGCGGAGGCGGCGGCGGCAGCGGCGGAGGCGGCGGCTGTAGAGGCGGCAGTAGCGGCCGTGGCGGCGGCGGAGGCTCAAGAGGCGGCGGCAGCGGAGGCGGCGGCACCGGCAGCGCCACCTGCGGCAGCCTCGGCGGCCGCGACCGTCGCCGCCCTCGCTGCCGCCGCCGCGCCGCCCGCCGCCGTTGCTCTCGACGAGCTCATCGCGGCGACCGACGGCTTTGCCGAGGCGCGCAAGGTGGGCGAGGGCGGTTTCGGGCGCGTCTACCGCGCCGACGCGCTGCCGTCGCTCCCGCGCGTCGCTTGCGGGTTCGCCGTCAAGACTGCGCTGGTCGGTGTCGGCGCCCAAGGCCTCGCCGAGCTGCAGAGTGAGGTGCGCACGCTCAGCGCGGCGTGCCACCCGTCCTTGCTTCCTCTTCTCGGCGCTTGCCTGGCGCCCGCGAGAGCGTGCCTCGTCTACCCCCTCTGCCGCGGCGGCAGCCTCGAGGACCGCCTCTATCGCGCTCCAGCCGCGCTGCAGCGGCTCCGCATGCTCGGCTTCGAGACGCCGCCTCCGCCGCTCTCCTCCGCCGCACGGCTCCGCGTGCTGCGCGACGCCGCGAGCGCGCTGCACTACCTGCACACGCGCTCTCCGATGATCCTGCACCGCGACGTCTCGGCGGGCAACATCCTGCTCGACGAGCGCGGCAACGGCTACCTCGCCGACGTGGGCCTCGCGCGCGCGGCAGAGGCGACGGCCGGCGGCAGCCAGCAGGTCTCGCACCTGTCGACGCAGCGTATCTTTGGCAAGCCAGGCTACATGGACCCGATCATCTCGCTGGACAACCAGGCTTCTCAGCTCACTGATGGCTTTGCGCTCGGCATCACGCTGCTCGTCGCCCTGACCGGCCGCGGCGCCGTCGGCTTGCTCAACGCGTGCGACGATGCGCTGGAGGAGCCCGACACGGCGGAGAGCATCGCGGCGGTCGACGCGGGCTGGTCAGCGGCGCAGGCCGAGGAGCTGGCGCGGCTCGTGGTTGGGCTGGCTCTTGTGAGGAAGAAGAGGCGGATGCCGCTCGCAGAGGCGCTGCCGCGGCTGGAGGCGCTAGTCGAAGCGGTGGGGGAGGTGGAGGAGACGGCTGGGGCCGAGGAGCGCCTGTGTGACCTCTGCTACGACGCGCCGCGCTCGGTCCGCTTCGCGTGCGGCCACGCGCTGTACTGCGAGACGTGTGCGCCGCGCGTGCTGGAGCGCGACAGCAACTGCCCGGCTTGCCGCCAGCCGGCGCTGCCCATCGCCGCAACTGGGCGGCTGGTGGCGGCGCAGACGACGTTTGTCCACCAGCCGCCCTCGCGCCCCGCGCCCCAGGCTCAGCCCGTGGGCGCCACGGCGGCGGTCGGTAGGCGAGGGGGGCGAGGGGGGCGTGGACGTGGCGGGCGGGGCGGGCGGGGTGGGCGGGGCGCGGGGCGCGGCGGCTCTGCTTAGTGCCTTTACACTTCGTGAGCGTCGTGCGGGGGCACGACGCTCACGGAGGGTGCCCGGGTCTGCGTTGCCCGACCCCCCCCCCCTCCGGCTCCTGCACTTGAGTTTGTGCGCGGGAACACAGGGAAGACAAGTTTTCGTGTGGGGTGTGGGGTGGGGGTATAAGGCGCACCCAGACGATGGCGGGGGCGGCGAAAAAAGACGGAGGGACGTAGCTGGGTAATGCTACAGGGGCGGCGGCGAAAAAGAAAGAAAGGAAAAGGAGCAGTCAAGGGAGGCTGAGTGTCTTGTCTTGTGGTTCTGTGTGTCGCTCCTGTGTGAAAGGCTGGCTCGTCGTGGACTGCGCCGGCGACTTTTATGGGCTTCTGTGTTCATAGTAGCGTGCACGCTACTAGAATCAAATCACTGTGAGCGTCGTGATTTCTTGTTGGTCTTTAAAAATCTCTCTCGCTACTATGGTTTACCCACATTATGCGAGTAGGTAGGTCCGGTTTTGACCGCCCCAGAGGGCCCTGCAACAGATAGGTACCCCTACATTCGTCTTTTTTTGGCGAGCAAAGAAAGAAAGAAAACAGACAACACAAGGGAGGGATGGGAGAACGGCACGCCGCCACCACACAGGGATTTTAAGGAGAGGAGTGTGATGCGCTAGCCGTCGCCTACCCTAGGGGGTCTGCCTCTTCCTATCTCTCTTCGCAGTCTCTCTCCGATTCTCGCTTCAACCTTCGTGCCACCTCGCGGCCGTCCCACTCTCGTCGCTCTCTCCCTTGTCACTTCCTTGGCGAGCAGAAAAGAAAGAAAGAAAGAAAACACACAACCCAAGGGAGGGATGGGAGAACGGCACGCCGCCACCACACAGGGATTTTAAGGAGAGGAGGGTGTGATGCGCTAGCCGTCGCCCACCCTGGGGGGTCTGCCTCCTCGTATCTCTTTTCGCAGTCTCTCGCCGCTTCTCGCTGCAACCTTCATGCCACCTCGCGGCTGTCCCACTCTCGTCGTTCTCTCCCTTGTCACTTCCCCCTCTGTCGCGTCGTTCTCTTCTGCCTCGTCCTGCGACGCCGCCGCCTGCCGGTCCCTTGTTCTCGCGGCTTCTTTCGCCTCTCGGCGCAACTCCGTCCTCCTTGCGGCGTATCCTGGCCCCTCGAGTCTATCGAGCTCCCCTCGCGCAAGGACCACATTTCTGACTCCCACTCCGATCATTTGCCTCCAAGTCATGTTGTTGCTCAGGTCCACTCTCTCTTCGAACACTCGTGCCTCTACGGATGATGCCGGCGCTGGGGTCCCCTTCGGATGCATCGTGACATCTGACAACTGAATTTCCACTGGTTCGTCCTCCTCTGAGTCATCTTCCCCGTCCTCCTTCCGCTCGGCTCTTC